GATGCAAAACTCTGGTGGCGAGTCAAATACGAAGCCATCAGGGCCGGTGAAGATACTCTCCAGACATGGGCAGAACTGAAGGCCGCCATACGCCTGCAGTTCTTCCCCGAAAACGTGGAATACAATGCACGGAGAAAGTTGCGTGAACTCCGCCACACCAGGTCGGTGCGGGACTACGTGCGTGAATTCTCCGCACTCATGCTAAACATACGGGATATGGGGGACAAGGACAAATTGTTCGCATTCATAGAAGGTTTGAAACCTCATACTCGTATGGAACTGCAAAGACAACCGGTAGATACCTTGCCCAAGGCCATTCAAGCTGCAGAGTGCCTTGGGGATTATCAGTTGGAAACTCAAAAGGATAGGCCCCAGCCGCCTGTCCGAGGGGGATACAATGGGAGCCCACCTAGCAACGGTGGCCCCAACAGAAACGGAGGAGATCGAGGTGCATCCAAATCTAAGACTCCTTCCTCAAGCAGCAATAGTGTTGCATCAGTCAACAACAATCAGGGGAGAAAGCCCCCATCAGAATGCCGTCATTGCGGCGGGGAACATTGGAACAATCAATGTCCCAATACACAGATCAATGCTCAACAGATTGTTGAAAACGAGTCAGATACCGCCGACTCAGACGGCCCCAATCAAGTAGGTGCCTTCAACGCATTTGTTGGCTCCATTCATAATACCTTGGCGGGAACCAGTGCTGGCAACCCCAAGAAGAACGCACTCCCAATCGACAAGAAAGGGAAAGGAAAGGCGGACGAAAGGCCTCCCACATCACAAAAGAGGACCCTAATGTTCGTTGACATGAAAGTAAACGGCAGACCTATTCGAGCATTGATAGACACGGGTGCTAGCCACAACTACCTGGCCTCAACTCAGGTGCAACGCCTCGGTCTAACAGTGCAAAAATGCAAGGGTCGTGTCAAGGCTATCAACTCTTCATCTCAGCCAGTGAGTGGAATAGCCCAAGAAGTGCCAATGAATCTTGGCCCATACAAGGGAATATTTGACCTACGCATAGCTATCATCGATGACTTCGAACTGATAGTGGGATTGGAATTCCTCAGGCAAACAAACACCATCCCGGTACCATATGCCAACATGCTCCTAATGATGGGAGACAACGGGGCCAAACCCCGCACCATACCGTGCATACCCATGAAGATGGCCGCTGGAAACATCACGGCCATGCAGTTAAAGGAGGGAACCAACAGACCTGAACCCACGGTTCCGGCTGCCCTCAACATCATCAAACAAATATCACATCATCGGCGACCAACAGCTCATGGCGCCCCTCATTGTGCGAAGACTTGTCAAGAATTCCAAAAGGACAAGTCGGATCACTCAGCACAAGCGAGACTCTTGGAGCCGCTACCTGTCTCACAGAGACCTTGGGAAAGCATTTCCCTGGATTTCATCACAGGATTACCCAAGGTCGGAAATCATGCAACCATCATGGTGGTAGTAGACCAATTTTCCAAGTATGCTACCTTCATCGCAGC